ATGTAAAGGTAGGAGAACCAACGATGAAACACATATACTAGAATCAACATGAAGTATTTAAGACACACTTAAAACACTTCCATTATCACAAAAGTAGCACTGCTATAAGCAACTCCTGTCGCACAAAATCCAGATTACACACTCTTACTAAGATGGGATAAAACTCTCAACCTAGTCTACCTAAGAACTCACGACATCTTACACAACAAGATTCGTGTTTATCCAACTGTTCCTAATCTACCCAGAAGAAACAGTAAAACCTAGTCTTGAACTCCTCTGTTTTCAAAACTTATATGTGATTCTATTTAGTATTCGTGTTACTTGTGGTGCTGATTTAATTTATGCTCGGATATCTCTGATCAGTCCAACATACATGTGAATACAATCTTGAAACTCACTGAGGTGATTTCATACTATGGCTCTATTCTGGTATTGTTGTTGAACAGGATCGTGGACATCATTGAGGTGATTCCACTAAAAAGGTTGTATCTACCCTCTGTGTGCATTCTGTTTAGACTAGTTGCTTGGATTGACATACTCAAGTAAAAAGGGGGAGATTGTAAATGCATCACAGATGGCAATTAAGGATAAAAGAAGATGTGAACATTCATGTGCTACACAGGAGAACAAGCAAAGCTGAAGTCAGCGTCACACGTGTGAAGTCAACTTTCCACGTGTGAATGTCAATAAGTGTCTCGAGCCATGGGAACGCAAGTGGGAGAGATCTTGCAGAGTTGGTTCAGCTAACAAGGAAGTGACCTTATGCAAAAGGCAAAAAACATAAGGTTGGCGCGTTGCTCAAAGTGAAGTGACATGTGAAACAGTGGTTCTCTGCGCAAGAACAATGGATTTTCTGCTGGTCCGAAGCATGCCTCTTCAGAAACATTGGTTAGTGGAAAACCAATATAACGGGGCTACAGAGGAGTTTTGGTGAAGTAGTTCTTCTTGAAAAAAATCAGGAGAGAGATTGAGAGAGGATACTTGCATAAGAACTAAAGAACAATCTAAGCGAGTTTATGCTGAGAGTTTACTGTTTCTTCTGGGTAGATTAGGAACAGTTGGATAAACATGAATCTTGTTGTGTAAGTTGTCGTGAGTTCTTGGGTAGACTAGGTTGAGAGTTTTATCCCATCTTAGTAAGAGTGTGTAATCTGGATTTCGTGCAACATGAGTTGCTTGTAGCAGTGCTACGTTTGTGATACTGGAAGTGTTTTAAGTGTGTCTTAAACACTTCATGTTGATTCTAGTATCTGTGTTTTATTGTTGGTTCTCCTACATTTACAACGCCAAAACCAGAAACTCATCGAAATTAGTCCCGTTACATCTTTAGGTTCCGTGGAGACCGCTACACAAGATATCAATACAGTTAAAAATTGATAGTAAAATCTTAGTTCTAAAACCACTGAAAATTAAAAAAGAAAGAAGGTGGAGGTGAGATTCTCTCCTCATAGGAGGAAGATAGTAAAAATTCGTTTAGTTTCTTTGAAAACGTTTTCTTGCCGTTAAAAACTCACAGATGTATAAATACTCATGTCAAGATTTGCTGGGTTAATCACTTTAGTCTAATACACAGAGTTGAGGGAAAAAACAAAAAAACACATGAAAAACATTGGACTTTAGTTTCTTGCTTAATAGTAACGAACGGAATAGACCCCCAGGCCCTTAATGTTATA